TCATAACTTACAATTATTCGTCCAATAAATGTCAACTAAATTTTTTTTTTTTTTTTTTTTTTTTACCACTGATTTTATCATCCATTTTTATTTTTATTTTTATTTTATTTTTTTTTTTTTTGTTAAATAACTTTCTCAAATTTTATCTTTTTTTTTGTAAACAGAGCAAAATTCCAAAATATTCAGTCTAACTTTAAACATTTAATATTTGATCCAATCTTTCAGTTAATTTGCTTTAAAAACATATTTAGCTTAAATTTGAATACAAAAAAACTTGACTAATTTACATTTTAAATTTAAATTTTAATTTTTAATTTTTAATTTACATTTCAAACAAATGCAAAATATTTATTAGCAAAAGCGAAAAAAAAACACATCAAAAATCAATTAATTTTTACTTGTATGTGTTTGTTTGTTTATTTTTCCTTATTTATTCATTTATTTCATTTATTTATTTGTTTGTTTGTATGTATGCAAATAATAAGCAAAAATTATTTTTAGGCACAGAATGAAAAGAAAACGGAAAACAATTCAGAAAAAAAATAAAATTTACAGTAAGCAAATTCTTTGAACAATGATTAAAATTTAAATAAAATTTAAAGAATAGAATCATATAAACATTTGTAAATACATTTTATGTGACAGCGTGACAAAATTAGTAAAAATAACAAAAAAAAAAAAAAATTAAATAATGAATTACTTAATAGAAAGCGGAATGATTCATTATTGGGTTTATTTAATATTTGTGTTGAAAAAAAAAAAAAAGGGATAATGAATATAATGTAATCATTTCTGATGTATAATTAAATCATAAACCGGAAATATTTGTTGCATTTATCGATAATTTATTATTAAACATTTCCAATGATGCAAAGATGTAATTTAATTTTTAAATTTTCACAAAAAAATTTTAAATTATAATTTACCAAAAAAAAAAAAAAAGGTGGAATATTTGCGTGGAAGGGAAAATGGATTATTTTTACTAATAGTGTTATTTATGTAATTAATAAATTTTTTAAAAGAATGGAAAATTATTCCGCTAATTAATTAAACTGCAAAGTTTTTGTTTTTATTGTAAAAATTTTCTTGAAACTTTTTCAAAAAATAATTTGCAATAACTCAGTTGCAAAATTTTATATTTAATTATTGTTATAAAATTTAAAATTTAAAAAAACAAAAACAAAAACAAAAACAAATCATCCTTTCTATTACTTTAATTTATATGACGCATTAAAAGTGGTGTAAAATGTGAAAAAAAATATTTTTCAATTAATTAAAAGGAAAAATTAACGCAAAAAAAATTTTCCTTTTAAACTTTAACAAATACTTAATGAAAAAGAAAAAATTTTTTTTTTTTGACAATTATTCAAACAATTTTACAAACAAAATTAAATCCAGCATGTAATTTTCAAAAAGAAAAATAAAAAAAAAAGATTTTAAAGCAATAAATTTAGAAAAATAGGCGGAAGGAAAGGCGAAAATATTTCAATGAAAATTTTATTAGTATTAGAAATTTCGAAAACAAAAAAAAAAAAAAATTTAAAACAAAGATCTCTCAAAGAAATGCATTTTTTAAATGAAATTTTATCCATCAGTAATACTTCTTTAATTTTCTTCCTTTGTGGTAAAAACAAAAAAAAAAACGAAAGTTTTAAAAGAATTTATTTTTCTTTAACCAAAAATTAATTTAGAAAAAATTTCATTTTTTCTTTTTAACCGAAAATTGAGTAGGAAAAAAAA